CCACATTTAGGAAAGTTGTTTGCTCTCAAAGGAGCGTCTGTATGTCACGAGGGACGCGTCACGCGGATAGTCAGTGGCCGTTTCCTCATTTTTCAAGGTCTCACCCGCTCACCCTCTCCCCACACCCTTTACAGAAGAGAATTTTTTCTTCTCTTCCGGGTGGTCGACACGGCCTCTTGAAAGAGAAAAGCCAGCTTGCTCTACAAGCTGGCTTTTTTATTTCAAGCGGCCTCATTGCCAGCAGGCGCACTGGGGGAAAGCCAGCTCTGCAAGCTGGCTTTCCCTCAAGGGCTTGTCTGCATTGAGTGAAAGCCAGCTTGCAGAGCAAAACGGCGCTCTTGGTAGTTCAATCTACACATGGGTAGCACGCGACGTCACTCAAAAAGCGCTACGATGACCACCAGGGAGGAGGGCAAGAAGAAGCTCGCCTCTTATCAGGGCCCCCTTTTGTGCCTCCCAAATCCGGTTCTACTCTACCACACACCAATTAGTCTTAGCTTCTCAGTTGTGGGAGTAAGATGCAGAAAATTGGTTACTAAGTAGTTGCCAGGTCATTACTCACTCAGAAATTCTAGTTTTGCAGGCACCTCCTCTCTTCTTCGCCCCCCCCCCCCTAAAGTATTTTGACCTGCTTCAAATATGCTGACACATAGGCCAGCACAAAGCAGACAGACCACGAGTGCTGCATCAGCATTCGGCTGGGGCTCGTGTTCTCACTGATCAGACCAAGAACTAGAGATGAAGCAAACATTTTCCAAACCTGAGGTCTGAAGAATTCAAAGATGTTAAACCTTTCTAACTTTGGCACTAACAAATATAACACTGAACCTATCATGTAAAAAAATTCGACTATTTTAGTCATTATTTCTCTACAGATTTGTCGAACTTTGAACGCGTGAAGTCCAAAAGTTTGACGAAGGTTAAACTTTTGATCTGAGGAACTTCTAACGAAACAGGATTCAATCGGTACCTACATGTTCAGAACACATAGCAACTGCTTCAACGCTTGAACCACGCTTGAACTGTGCAGATAACAATTGCTGTCGCATGAGACTGACTCACAGCTCAAAGAGGCAAGCTAAGTGGCCGAGTGCCGACCTGCCCAGCAAATGCAGCAAGCTATCTGGTGATAGCAACAGCTACCACCAGATAACATCTCTGTTTTCCGCAAGCTTTGTTTAAACTCAGTTAAACAGAGCTCACACACCAGAAAATTAAGAAATCACTCGAAACTAAAACTGGGACCCTCGTGCGATTTGAAGACTTCTAACTTTACAAACTTATACTTGGAACAAAACTCTTAATCTTCGAATAATTCTAACTTAAACCAAGAAATTTCAAATCTTCAAATATTTTTAGAATCAAAATTGCAAAAAAGAAAGAGGAAACTGTTGAACTCTACTTTTATCAACATCGAAAGCAACTTTGTAAATTCAAACCATGGCAATGTTCGAAAGTTGTTCACTTTGCAACCCTTTCTAACTCTACCAAAGACCCTGCCGAATGCAGATGTGGCACTCGTGTTCAATTTGTGCACTGCAGTGGCCTACCTATGCACTGTCAAATTTGAAGCATGCTGGCCTTAGAGATTTCAGATGTTGTCTAGACCCCCTGGTGGCAATCAGTTCATCAAAGAATGTCTCACCGACAAATTGCTTTGTCGATGAAGACTGTCTGTTTCAGCAACACATCTTGCCACATTTCATAAATAGCTTCCTTTTCATGACAGCCTTGAAATTGATTTTTGTTAACATGAATATCGGCAGACCTCTTTAGGATCGAAGCTCGGCCAACAGCGCCCCATATCCGCCCTTTTGATTGCTAGCATAGCTTTCTAAGAAGGCTCACTGCAAGTTCAAGCCCAAGAATAGATTTATTTTCCCCTTGCAAAGCAAGGGATGACTGCACAAAGCGCGGCATGTTTGGAATTGTAGCTTGCTATCACGGTGCCAATCAAACATCGCAACAGTTAAGGTTGCGTAATGAGTGTTGATAAAATGTGCACTGATGAAAAAGTTGTTTATCAAACATGCATGGATAAAACGATAGCACCATGGGCATCCTGCTGAAATTGCAAGGCATTAATATGAGGTTACTAATGTTGCTTCCTCCAAGAAAAGTTTGAACTAGTAGCTAGCCACGGCTAGCATTCCGCATCGACTGCTATCTGTGGACTGGATGCCGTGAAATTACAAAATTACCTATCTTTGGTGGTGCATGCAGAGTTGCAGAAATTATTAAAAAGCAAGCAACGACATCACACTTCAGCCAATCCCGATCCTCTGTTTACGTGCTCTTTAACAAGCCAAGATGTCATAAATGTCATAAATGTTCTCACCCCTTCGGAGAAGTTCCCTGCATCCAGGTTGTGGTAGACGCGGCTCTCTTCAGCCCTGTAGGGAGCACAAAAAAAAGACGGCCTCAAGTAAGCAGGAGTGCACAAGAGATAAAACCAAGAGCAAAATTGAATGTGTTCTGAAAGTGGGACCAGCTATATTAGCTTGAGATATTTCATAATGAGCCCGAACTAACCTGATACATGATAAGCTGGCAGGACGGAACCTGAAGTAGAAGACATTCAAACACGAAAAAACAGAGATGCTTAGACCGAATCAGAAAGAGTGAAACTGTTTTGTAGATACAGAAAACAATGCTACAAAAACTATAGGTATGTAAGCAGTGTTTTATACAGTGTATCCTTTGCAATGGCTCCCTGAAACAAAGGTACGACTAATGAACTCTTACCCACATTTCTGACACTTCTCTGGCAATCCATTAAAAGGAATGCAGGACTGACGCTCAATTCATGCAGACTGCTTTTGTAATATCCTACCGCAAGAATGCACAACTCTGATGACAAAAATGTTTGGATTGAGGCCACATCTGTGGCCTCAGGCCTAGAGCCTAGAATAGGCCATATTGCTTAACCCAAAGCTACAGCATATCTAAGCACCATGTTCCCAAATGCTCTTGTGTTAGAGGTATGGTGAACAACTAAGGCACTTTTTTTATTTCTTATTTCAGAGTGCCATTTTCCGAGCTATCTAGAACAGCGAACAAAAAGCTCAATCGCATGGTCGTCTGAAATAAAAGCTTTCATAAATTTGTTTTTAGAGCCTTTTCAAAAGTTTGTACCAACACCCGGCCACCATTGCTTGCTCACATACTCTGAGCATGTAATGGACACGGCAGTTGCGTCAGCGTTCGGCGTGAACTTAGGTCATATTGCAAATGAGCGCTCTGTCAGAGTTCGTCGAGGACTCGGATCCAATCACAGGCTTCGTGATTGGATTCGAGTCCTCGCCGTGTCGATTGTACCACGTAAGTGAAAATAGATTATGTATATAATATTTGAAAGTATGAAAGATTGAGCCCAACAAAGTCAGAAATCAAAGACCACCAACAAGGCATTATAGACTACTGACATTTCTTGGGGACCCCATGGTCAACACCTGTTCACTTCATGGCTGAGTGAACTACCCTGGGCGCAGGCTGGGGACATTTTTGTCTGGAAGCTTCGTTGGACAGCTAGTGCACTAGTACCCAGTTACACGGGCGCTCTCAGCTGCCATTGAGTCCAACAACAGTCGAGTCCATCGCGATAAGCCAAAGTTACACGGCAGCGCCAACCGTCATTGAGCCGCTAATGACAGTTGAGTTCGACTGAGCTCCCCCACCTCAGTTCAACCGAACGGACTTCCCCAACGAAGGTAAATTGGCACCTGTTCGCGGGACCGCTGCCAGCAACCATTGTTTGTGAGGCACTTACTGTTTCGAAATGCAGGGGGAGGCGTCTAGAAAGAATCGTAGCAGCAGAATTCTCGGGAAGGAATAAATTTAGGCGTCCGAGCTGCCAATAATAGCATCCCGGCTAGCCGGCAAGATTCCAAACGAGCAAAAATGGCGGAGGAACCTGCTGCATAAATAGACAAATAGTAGTGGGGCACCCATCATAGCGGGCATCATAGCGGGCACCACCTAGCCTAAATGATGTGCAACCTAGCCCTGAATCTGCTTTGGTACTCGTGTAAATGCCGCTAAAAAGCAACAAGGTATCAAACATATAGTATGATCTACTTAAAATAAATAAAACGTGTGTCTCCGAGTAAATTACTATAAAAATTAGACTGATCACACGGCACAAGAACCAGTTTCGTGCTAGCTTTAACTGGGTTCTAGAGAGTTGAGTTGAGTTCAGTCAAAGTTGAGGCTGATAAATGTCGTAGACTCAACGATAGTTGAAAGTGTACGTGTAACTAGGGTAACTAGGGGACTGGCTTGCAAGGTTTCAAGGACAAGCAATTCTAACTGATGTGGTACAGTCTGCAGCATTATGAAATACCCACTCAGAGCGCATGACCGAGGCGGTGGCCGAAAGGGGCGCAGTACATGATTCGGACAGTTCCATGTTGCTCAGAGGGGAGGCTCGCTCAAGGCTGAACCACTGTTGGTTGTTTCAGGCACTGCACAAAATTTTCCATCCAGAATTAAATGCTGCTAACTGACAGCTCTCAGCTGTCTGTATACATCTTTCGTGCTTTCATTCTTTCAATTTTAACTACTGAATTTTACAATGTGCGTGCACTAACCAGACTGACCTACACTCAGTGATAAATCAAGATCAAAGAGCGAGGAAAACGAAGGTGGGAAAGGAGAAAACAGATGGGGTGTTGAAGGTGAGAGGACAAAAACCTCTTCTACCTTCAGTCTGCTTTCTCCTATCCAGCCTTCGTTTCCCTTGCCCTTTGTTACTGACCTGTTACTGACTATAAGTATTTAGCAATTATGCAAAATTGCATAAGGAGCTAAAGTTATTCATGCAAGTTTTGATTCACATTGAATAATAATTTATAATGAACAGCCTTATACCGGGACACACTCTTTCTCTTGAGGCATCGTCCGAAGAGTCGCTGTCCATATGGCCAGCAGGCCTCCTCGCCCTTTCCTGTCTTGGGGCTACATCCGGTCTGTCAGTCCAAATTGGGTGCTCAGGCAGCTGCGACCAGATGGTCTGAAGCGTGCTGCAGTGTGGCTGCATGAGAAACGATCATCTCAATTATACGCTCAATTAAAAAAAAAATCGCCAACCTAATGTAGGAGTGAAGAATCTTCACTGGGTGATTCGACCAAATCAGTGTAATCTGTTCTTTCTCTAAAATTGCACTGAGGACCTGATGCTTTTGCTTGTAAGGTGGCCAGTAGGAGACGACTTGCTCTAGCTTCCTCACCAGCCAACACTCCGAGACGACGTATGCGCTCCCTTCATCTAATGTGCATGACGTGGTAGCTATAGAGAAAAAGTGTGGAATATGCATTCTACCAGAATATTAGAACCTATTTTAGACAGCTTGGGCAATGTTGGGGGCCCCGCCAGCAACCACTAACAAACCACTGCCAGATTTCTTTATTTTTGGATGGAGAAATCCGCTAAACAAATTTTTAAAAAAGTTACTTACAAATGCAGGTTTCTGATACAAGCATAATGCACTAAACTCACAAAAAACTGTAGCAGAGATCCAAAATAAATACATCTAGCAAAACAGGCACGTCTAACTTTCAGCGAGACGCAAAACGTCTGCACTTGACCCGCAGCGCGTGACATCTTTTCGCCGCACGATTTGAAAAAGGAGCTCACTGTCACTCACGAGACGCGACCACAGACTGAACAGTGAATACGCTACACTTAGGAGCGAAGCAAGAGGTCTGTTTAGGGCATAGGTTCATGATGATGTTGTTCAATTGATGTCGTGATGCTTCTGCTATCTATTTCAAGCCAAAATAAGAAGTCTTTAGCCACTTTACTGTCAGCCCCTGTTAATGTTGACACAGCAAGGCTGGGGTGCAAAGACCAGGCACCTAGCCAGGGGGGGGGGGGGGGACCATAGGGCCCCCCCGCAATCTTCCATTTTCCTGGGACCTCCTCCCCCCCCCCTCATACAGCATTTTGTCATGGGCGGGCGCGCTCCTCCTCTCCTGCTCCTCCTCCTCCCTTTCCCCTCCCCTCCCCTCCCCTCCCCCCCCCCCCCAAAAAAAAATCCTGGCTACGTGCCAAGCAAAGGCCCCTGTCGAAACTTCACTGCCCAACTACTCAGCTGCTTTGTTGTAACGCAAATGAACTTCTGAACGAGAAACACCAATCGAAAGTTAGACATGATGATTGAAAACCTGAGACTGTGGTTAAAAATGGAAGAGATGCTCTCTGTCACTTTGTCTTTCTACTATGGTGCCTGGAACGCGTCTCTGACTGGTGTGTTTACCGTGTCCAAAAAAGTGGTTCCTCGATTTCCGCCTGATGACGTCATAAAAGTGTCATGCTGTCGCTGGTCGCGAACCTGGTGGCGTCCCAATAGTTGTGGTGTATGTGGCGACGCCTGTCCTGCTGCAGGTCGCTCTCCACTGTGACAGTCCACGGAAGCTACAGCAGCTGCAAGTTGGGACGCCGTGACGACAGCGACACTCGCGTTCGCTTGTGCTTTTCGCCAGCATTTCTATGGCCAACCGCCAGGATCGCGACAGTCAACAGCATGACACTCCGGCTTCTGTGACGTCATCTGTTGCCACTTCGGGACCACTTTTGATGTATGGGCGGGATAGGACGCTAAACACACCAGTCATAGACGCGATCTAGGCACCATACTTTCTACATCACGTTTTTCCGTTTTCCAACCACAGACTCAGGTTTTCAATCGTCATGTATAACTTACACCAGCTCGCCCGCACTTTAACCGTTTTTTTCATTGAAAGTTAGAAATGAACGAACTTCTGGGCGAGATCGAAACAATCGAAAGCTAACATTTTTGTAACGAGCAGCTGCAGACTGCCGCCGAAAAGCGGCGCGAGTGCAGTGCTGGGGAGTGGGTTAAGACACGCCTCCGTTATTCACTCAAATGGCGTTGTTCGCTAAAACGTCATTCACGCATATGATATAACCAATTACCAGTAAAAATCAATTATAAAAAAAAACATTATCAGTAAAACATTAATTATTAAAAAAAATCAATTATCGGTTTAAATAAAAAATAAAATATATTTATTTTCAGCGATAATTGTCAAAAAGAAAATGTGTAAATATCGCAAAAAGCTATCAATTACCACTAAAAAATCAATTATAAAAAAGAGCACTATCACTAAAACATTAAGTATAAAAAAATCAATTATCGGTGGAAACAAATAATAAAATATATATTCATTTTCAGCGATAATTGTCTAAAAGAAAATGTGCAAATATCGCAAAAAGCTTGACCAAAAAAAAAAAAAAAAAAAGGATACCCACTGGGGATCGAACCCGGAACTTCTGCGCGAGGAGCGGACACTATACCACTAAACTACTGCCGGCATTTTTTTTTTTTTTTTCTTAAAACACATTTATTTACATATTATTTACAGGTGATTTCCACTCGCAGGTGGTTTGCACAACAGTTGAACAGATAGACTTACAAAGCAGAACGAACTTGACCGTCACTGGCCCGAGCAAAACAGAGGAAAGATACGTTATATGGGCATGGGCATGACGTATTTACAACACAACAGGGCGCCCCTGCGCAGCGCGCCCCTCACTCAGCTTCCCCGCACTGGCTCTCGCGAGGTAGCCGCCAAACCCCACCACGCTGAGGCCGGTGCCTACGGCGGATACCCCCGGCCTCCAGCTGTCTTTCCACGCACCGCCACTCGTCGGTCGCTGTGCTTGTCCCCCTGTCAATCAGTGATATCACCCAGTCCAGCTTGGCCACGAAGTAGTCCCAGGTTGGGCGTGCGTCTATGTGGCATCGCACCATCGCAGTGCGCGATTGCCAGAAGGCGTGCAGTCCTAGTAGCACCAACACATAGGTCACCTCTGCCGTCTCCCTGCCGCCTAGAGCCAGATACTTGAGGTTAACCCACTCTACGTCGAAAGCCGTTCTTAGGTTGAAAATCGTCCTCATCTCGTCCCAGAACAGGTAGGCGTTCGAGCACTCGACGAGGACGTGTTAAATGGTCTCGGTGGCACCGCAGAGGTCGCAGTTGAGCGACCAGGGCACAAAAATCCCCCTCCGGTGCACCTCCGGTGCAGCCATGTTTTGACTGGAAGCACCTCCAGATGCATGCGCACAAAAAAGTCCTTGCTGGCCGCAGAGACAGGGAGACGGCGCACGAGCTTGAAAAGTCCTGCTGTGCCGTCGGGTACTGGCGGCGGCCTATACAAAGGCGATGGAAAGGTCACAGAAATTGTGTCCCAGTAGAGTTTTCTTTTGCCGACGGTCGCCAAATAGTCCCAGGAGAACCGAGCCAGGAAGAACTCGATGGACACCGCTATTTCGCTGTAAAAGCGCAATGCGGCTGCCTTCGCTGTGCGGCCACTGGTGGTCACCATCCATCTTCCCAGGTGAGGGAATCCGAGGTGGTGTAGCGCACTCAGGAGAACGGTGTCCTTTGCGTCCCGGAAGAGGAGAAAACGCTGTACATGTAGCTTGAGCACGATGTTTACCAGGCCAAGACCTCCGCCCTCCTGGTGTAGGAAGAGGTTCTCCCGCCGTGTCCGTTCCATGGATGACTTCCAGACAAAGACGGCCCAGCTTCTGTGTATCCTCTTGGCCGTCACTCCAGGGCAGCATACGGCCTGCGCCTTGTAGAGAACGGCTGGGTATATGACAGCTTTGCATACGTAGGCACGGTTGAAAAAGGAGAGATGTCTGCACTGCCAGGGTGAGAGCTTGGATGCTACCGAGTTGGCAGCCTTTTTCCATACTGTGGAGGAAGGTCCCTGTGGGTCAATAGGAACACCGAGATAGTTTCCGACTGACGTGGTCCAGCCAATCCCTGCGAAGAGCTTTGGCGTTGTTGCCCATCCCCCAAGCCACGCTCCCACCGACTTTTTCCTGTTTATCTCCGCGCCTGCTGCGACGGTGAAATTCACCACATGCCGCAAGATGGTCTCCACCTGTCTCTTGGAAGAGCAAACGAAGGATACGTCATCCGCAAAGGCTAAAACGCGGACATTCTCGTTTCCTAGTTGTAGTCCCGTGATAGTTTGGTCTTCATTGATCGCGCGACATAGTGGCTCAAGCTGCAGCGCGAAGAGAATTGGCGAAAGGGGGCATCCCTGACGGACCGACCTCCTTATGCGGATGGGCGCTCCCCTGTCTCCGTTGATGAGTAGGCGTGTGCTGATGTCGCGGTAGCAGAGGGCTATCCACCCCCGCAGCTCCTCCCCCACACCGAAGTGTTTGAGTGCTGCATGGAGACATTTATGAGACACCCTGTCAAACGCTTGACGCAGGTCCAGCTGAATCACAGCGAGAGGCTCGTGACCCACAGCGGTCGCCTCGCAGACGGAGCGCATGGCGTGCAGGTTCCGCGCTATCGATCGGCCACGGATCCCGTAGCTCTGATGGGGCCCTATGACGGATCTAAGCCCAGTGTCGAGTCGTCTTGCCAGTATCTTGGCTAGAATCTTGTAGTCACAGCAAAGTAGGATGATCGGGCGGAAGTCAGTGACCTCAGCTACAGGACTTGTCTTTGACTTCTTCGGTATCAGTACAGTAAAACTTTCCCTCATGGACGGGGGGAGCAGCTTGCGTTTCTTTATGTCCTCGAACACCTGAACCAGGATTGGGCAGAGCGCATCCGAGAAGATCTTATAAAACTCTGCTCCAATGCCGTCCGGGCCGGGCGCCTTGTTGCGTGACAGTCTTTTTATAGCTTGCTTGACTTCTGACAGTCGAATTGGACAGTTCATAAGGTCACTTGCTTCTTCGGGCACGGTCGGCGACTCATGTAAAATTGACTCGAAGGCGGTCTCGTCCAGGTTTTCCTCCTGAAACAACCTCCCGAAAGCCTCCTCAAACGCGCCCGCAATTTCTTGCTGCGATGTTGCTACGCCCCTCTCGCCACGCACTTCCCTTAAGGTGTTTTCTCTCACCCTCTGTCTCTCATGTGTGCGGAAGATCTTGCAAGGCTGTATTTCCCCCTCAAGAGCCTGCACTCTGCTCCTGACTTGAGCTCCCCTGTAGCGCTCTTCGAGTATACCGAGCAGCTGTTCTTTGCAGTTCTTTATGTCGTCCGCAAACGTTCCAGGGTTTTGCTCCTCCTCCTCTAGAAGCATCCGCAGGGTCTTGGCCAGGTGGATTCGAGTCTCACGTGCCTCAGCAGCCCTGCGACGGCCAAACGCGCAGGCCGACTCCCGGAGATTTGCCTTAAAACTCTCCCAGGTGACCGCATCTACGCCGCTCTCGACCAGCCTCTCCAGAGCACACCTCGTTTTCCCGACGAACTCCTCGCTCTCCAGGACGCTGGCGTTCATCTTCCATGTTGTGTTGCGTCGCGCTCGCTCGGCCACCGGCGCGCCTGCTCGTAGAACTGTGGCGACGAAGCCGTGGTCCGAGAAGGGAACGATTTTCGCGTCATAGGATTGAACCCCGTCGGATAGCTCACTTGATACATATACTCTGTCCAGCCTGGCCTGGGATGCACCCTGCCATCTGGTAAAGCGCGGAGAGAAACTGTCGAGCACCTGAGTCACGTCCACTAGATCGAAGTCGCGCACAGCGTCGCGAAGTGTATTGGCGCCCAGATCGATTCTGGGGACCGTTGATCCGCGCACTCGGTCGCGGCCATTCAGCACACAGTTGAAGTCTCCCCCGACGACGAGCGTCGCGGGGGTCTCGAGCTGTGTACGGAGTCCAATGAAAAAATCCTTTCGCTCTGATGAGTTGCTAGGAGCATACACGGATATTAGCCGCGTTAGTTCATTCCCGATCAAGACGTCAACCAGCGCGAAACGTCCATCGGAGCAGAGTTCAGGATGAGCAATCCGGATGCCGGTACTTTTCTTGATTAGGACGGCGGTGCCTCCGGCGCGGTTCAGGTCCGAGGTTAGCGTGTGTACACACCAAAAGATGTGCCCGAAGAATTGGACGAAACTCTTTGCCTTCTCTGCCGAGCAGATTTTCGTCTCTTGTAAAAAGATTATGTCTGCGTGCTCTTCGTTCAGAAGATCCATTAAAAACCGCTTCCTCTTTCGTGCTGTTACGCCTACACAGTTGAAAGTGGCTATTTTAATGTTGTTCATTAGGTTGGCTTATTTAGTTATAGAGACATCTAGGGTACCAAGAGATAAGCGATGATAAGAGAAGCGGAAGGGAGAAAAAAGGAAGAAAATACCGTGAAGAGGGGAACGACGGCGAGGCAACACCTCCTAGACTAGGAAGGCCTCAGCGCTCTTCCCGCATGGGCGAGAGAAGAGGCCATCGGTGCCGCGGAAGAGAAGGCAACGCGCGGTGGTTTACCCTCAATGCAACGAGTTTCTTCATATCCTTAAATGCCAACTGTGCACACCATTTGGGTTAGGAAGCAGATCTAGCGAATTATTGTTGCATTAAATCATTGATGTAAAATGTAAGAACAGGGTTGGTGTGTATCGGGGTCTCGAGCTAGATAGAGTTTACTTTGAAGCACGTAACTGTAAATGATGTAATTATCCCCGCAAGATAAATTATTTATAAATAATACTTGCCAAAAATTACATGATAGAGAGTGATTAAAATAGCATTACACATCACAATGCTAACAAGGTTGATGTAGTAAACGCAAGTATAATAAATGAATTTGTGCCTAAAACAAAGTGGTTTATTTAAAAGCAAAAACTAGTGGTCTGGTGTTCCTTTTGGCGTAGAGTTGTTATTTCGGCAAGGAATTTATACAAAGATTTTAATTTATTCTGAAGTAGGCTTTACCTCTTTTTGCAGCTAGAATTACCTGAAATCTTGTCATAAATCTTCCGATTTAAGGTTCCTAGATTTATCTTCTAATAAACGTTTTTGAGCTTACACCACAGCGTTAACAGGATAAAACTACAGGGTCGTTAATCTCATGACTGCAACAAAGTACTAAGATTTATGATAAGCCAGTAATGTAGTCATGACAACTGGGTAGTAGATAGATTGGTGTTCAAAATTTATTCTCTTTGTTTGCTTTATACAAGTCGCATCACATCAACTTATCTGTGTCTAGCAGCGATCCGTTCGACGAAGACTAAACATTTCTACAAAATATAGTACAAAACAGAGTGATCATTAATGGCATCTGGTTTAAGTAAGTCTGGGCAACATTGCAACCTTAGAAATCAATCTGCTTCGTGAATGCAAGCTGCTCGGAGAGTTTTTTGTCAAGAGCTACTCGCATCTACACTACAAATCAAGTTGAAATTGTGCTATATCTCACCTATGAATGCTGCGAATGAAATCCCGTGTATCCATAAGGAACGTTCCTCACACATCAAGTACGCGGCGTGTAGACTTGGTGTTGACGTACAAACGGAACAGTTCAAGGACGGCACAAATGTTTTGATTTAAATGTACTACATATCCCGGAACGTGAACAGGCGTGTGTACATCTTTAACAAACGTCGAGAAGTCAATGTTGATGAGAAGATTCGTCCTATCCACGCTTGCCGCAGGTCACCGTCTTGAGGAAACTTGAACACATGCACTTTTTCGGTATTTTTGTAGTTGCCGCGACATCCCGTAGCACAACATTTGTTCGGCATTTCGATCCGCCGAACAATCACTCGCGCGCGTACGTTTTAAAACAAGACAGGGAAGGCGGGGGTGGCGTCGGGTGGAAAAAAACAGAGCAACAAGCCCAACAGTTGCGACGGCTCCTCCGATTTGAACAGCCTCGCATGCGCAGTCAGCGGGTTGGCGGCGCTCCGCGCGCCACCACCGCCACCGTTGCTAGGCGACCGCTGGGCGCACGAAATTCGCCGACGGGAGCGTCGCCGGACACCGCCACCCGCCGCAAAGGCCACGGCCTCGACCGTCCGCCATCTTTGCATTCCGACTCGCAAGCGCTGAGGCCTTCCTAGTCTAGGAGGTGTTGGACGAGGCCGCCCAAGGGGAAGGGAAAATTCTTCTCACCGACCGAGAAGGGGGCTAATCCTTCCCGTGCAGCGGCGGGTAGTCCAGGGATGACACATTCACTTCCCGGGGGCGCAGAGCTGGGATGGCCGCCTGCTCGTTCTTTCTAGTACGCGATTTGTGGCGCGTGACCTTGGTGGTGCCCTTGGCGACTTCCTCCTCGCTCGTCTGAGAAGACCGCACCGGAGCGGCTGCGTCCGCTGGCATGTCGCTCGGCGATGCTTGCCTCTCCGACGCGCTTTCGTTGTTGGAGTCGTTAGAGCCCCTTACGCGTTTCCCTTGTTCCACGGTGCTCGACGCTTTAGGGTTGTCTACCTTTGCTGGAACCTGCGGCAGCGAAGTTGCGTTCTTGGAGGTGGACGCAACGTCTGTCACCTTGTCCTTTCCCTCGGGTCCTGGCTCCTCCTCGTTACCCCCCTCGGCCGGTGTTACCGCCTCCATCGAGTTGGCGGCAGGTTCGCTTTCACCCACCTCACCGTCGTCCAGAAGGTCGCTGTTTTGAAGCGTGTCCGCATGTCGCCTGGTTTTGGCGGCGTAGGTGGGCACACATTCAGACTCCAGGTGACCATAACCTCGGCAATGGCGGCACCAAGGCGCCCGGCATTGTTTGCGCATATGCCCCAGCTTGCTGCAGCGGAGGCACATCGGAGGTCGGCCTGGGACAGATATTAGAACGGGGTACCCGGCCACTTTTCCCTGGTGTGGTAGCTCATCCTTTGCAGTTCCTTCCTTCATGGTGATTGTCACTGCCCTTGCCGAGGTTTCGACTTCGTACGTTCCACTTGGGGACTTCCACTTCTCCCTGGTGATTCGTGTTACGTTTCCATATTCCGCGAATGCTGCGCACACTTCTCCATCGGTCGCGTACGTCGGTAGCCAGTTGACCCGGACGACGGCCTCCTTGACATTGGGGTCAATGACCACGCACTTTTTTCCTTTCACAGTGACTTCTTTCAGGGCCACGAGGCCTTCCTTTGCATCAGCGGAGTCCAGCGTGCATATCCACACGTGGTTGAACTGAAAAGCTCCCAGCCCAACCACGTGCTTCATGCCGACGGTTCCCTCGAGTGCTTCAGCAAAATCCTGCGTCCGGTAGGGTCTACCTTGAGGGTCTCCGTGGAGGAACACCGTCTCCGCCAGCCTCTTCCCACTTGGCAGCGCCGGCAAGATCATGCGGTAGCCTCCGGACTCCGTGGTGATCCCGTCGGTCACCGCAGAGGGAGCGGTCGCTCCGTTCGGCATCGCTCCTGACGCGGGGAGGGGACGAAAGGCACGTCCGTTCCCCGTGCGCGCTGAACGAAGGATCGAGCTACTGCCGGCTCGGATATTTCTACTCTTACAATTCGTGTTATACAAGAAACAACATGCCAGTGCGGCGTTCGCGACAGTTTTTCTTCGTAGGTTTGTCATGAGGGTTGCCGGCAAAATCCTCACTTCCCATTAACAATCACACAATCAGCAGAATCTAAAAAGTGCACAAGAGCCGCTAACATGCCGCTGACATGCCGTCGACCGCCTGATTTTGCAATGACAAGCCAGTGGCCCGAGCTTCCCCGACCTTGCGAACCAAGCGGGCTGCGACGACAGCGTCATCACGCTCGCACGAACGGACGGGGCCGCCTTTCCGAAGCACCGCTAATGCAGAGCTTGTCAACTGAGCCGTTACTACTAACCCTATGCCCATTGTGTTCCAATCACTTTGCAAAACAAAACACCGAGTAGAAAATGGACTTACTCCTTGATCAGCGTATTCATGGCCTCTTGTCTCAGCGTGCTATCTTGGGTGGCTTGAAATGTGCACAAACCGATAACAAAGCTTCTCAAATCGTCGAACCTTGAACGCCTTGAACCGCTTGAAGTTGAACTAGGCCTGATGAGTCCACCATCAGCCAGCTGCACCGGCCATTGCACCGGCATCAGCGCGACACGATCGAGTGGATGGGTGAATAATAAAATTATAAATTCTCTTTTTGCAATGGGAGGTAGTTCGCGCCACCTGGCGGACAACTATCACCGCGCAGGGAGTCTAGTCAGATTTTCGGGGATTAGGACGAACATGAATATATTTTAATTAAAGCACCCGTCACTTCTCTTTTATGCTAGAGTCGCCAGTTTTCGTGTTCACCCTACGCAGTCGGTGTACGGGGTCGTGGGTATGCATACACAAGTAATGGCGGAACTGGCGGAACTTGCTGGGACGAGATCACTTCCGGTTCACCTGCTTCATCTGTATGTTTGCTCGGTAAGCAGGAATAAGCGGCGCGCCTTTTTTTTTTTTTTTTTAGTTTTTTTTGTTGGAAAATCGGAAAAGGTATGTCGAAGACCGGACAATTGGCCTTGGACCGGACCTAAGATAGATCGGTGTATGTTTCTGGACCTTACGGAGCCAAGAAGAAGCACCGCATCTCGTTTTATTTGGCCTCCGTAGCCAAAGTTACGTAACCCTATGTGACGGGTCAGTGGAAATCTGTGTACACGTGAGACATTCAACGAAGTTAGACGCCCACAAATCAACCGAGGCATCGGCATGTGATTGTTTTGTGTTTTTCGTGCACGGGAGAGCGTTTGTGAGAACTGCATCGCATCGTCAACTGCGCGGCGTCGCGGTGAGTGCTCGAGCTGGGCAAAGCGAGACTACGCTACGCCTGTCGGACGTAGTTGAAGGAAGGTGCGCAGGATTGTGCAACTGGTGCTCGATCATGCCGTGGAAGAAGAGGCGGTGCGTTTTCGACGACGAGTAGAGATATCGTGATCGGGACAAAGCCGTCGCACTGTGTATAGTACGATTGTGCCGTTCGTTCCCCTCAAAAAGCTAGCGGCGTGTTTTCGACGACGAGTGTAGGTCTCGTGATTGTGACAACGTCGGCCTACCACGGCGGGAAGTGTGATTCGTTCGATAAAGTTCTTTCGTTGTCTCGAAGAGTCGGATATGTGTTTTCCTCCATTTTTTCACCCAATATTTTTAACCATGGCTTAGTTAGGAGAGCTTTTTTTTTTTGTTTGTTTGTTTTTTGCTCTGCACGCGCTGCCAATAGCCCAATGTGCTTCTTTTGTAGCCATATGACGACGTCCTTACTGCTACCAGTCACCTTGAGGTTTCCTCAGGTGGAGAGAGACCCGACTTCTGACCGTGATTTCACCCAATATTTTGTGACTGTAGCTTATATAATTTGGTTTTTAAGTGATAGAACTTTTCTGTTATATTTGATATAGCAATACTGCCAGCCAGGTTTTGGTTATGAAATACATGTGCTTATTGTGTGTTTGTTTTCAGGTGTTCTGGTTTTATCTTGGCCAGAAATCTGTGATTAAAGAAAAGCTGTTGTTATGAAGAATTTTGTAATTGGCGAAAGAATGCCAGAGAAAGCTTTTTTTCATATTCTGGTTCATTTTTGTTGTGTACAACAAGTCCAGAATTCACTGCTCTGTTAAAGGCACAGTCATTTTTTAATGTTTTCACATTTTGTACATATAATGTGTGTTCAAATAATAAAATATAATTTTTATCCAAATGAAGTTGTCTGAGCCAATTTTATAGTATGGAACGCGCCACGGCCTGGATTCCTCAAGTGTTAATACCTTCTCCCAGTCTTACCTGGCCTGGGCAAACATGTAGCCACCTACATGTGACCAGACTTAATATTTGCAGAACAAGCGGAAGTCATTGCTTACCAAGCCTGTGGCTTGTATACTGTATTGTAATGGGCAATGTAATGCTAGAGAGGATTGGTGGTCCTGAATAAAAGCAGCACTCCGCACAACCATGTTCTATGGGACACTTTTTTTCTTTTGTTGACCAATTTGAAACAAGCCAAATAGGGTGACCATCTTTCGGATTGGTGGCCTGGGATAAAAGGAGCGGTCAGTACCCAGTCTTCTACCACACAGTTTTTTTTTCATCATTGAATAAGTTACTGCCAGTCAACACTGGTCGGACATGTGCTGAGGATGTTTTTAGGACTGGTGGCCGGGGATAAAAAGTGTGGTCAGTAGCCAGGCTTCTACTGAACACTTTTTTGTCTACGTTGACCAAGTTACTGCCGGTCAACATTGGCCGGAAAGGCACTGAGGACATTTTTAGGACTGGTGGCCGGGGATGAAAAGAGTAGTGAGTCCCAGGCGTCTACCGGACACTTTTTTGTCTTCGTTGACCAGGTTGCTGCCAGTCAACATTGACCAGACAGATGCTGAGGATGTTTTTAGGACTGGTGGCCGGGGATGAAAAGAGTAGTGAGTCCCAGGCGTCTACCGGACACTTTTTTGTCTTCGTTGACCAGGTTGCTGCCAGTCAACATTGACCAGACAGATGCTGAGGATGTTTTTAGGACTGGTGGCCGGGGATGAAAAGAGTAGTGAGTCCCAGGCTTCTACCGGACACTTTTTTGTCTTCGTTGACCAGGTTGCTGCCAGTCAACATTGACCGAACAAGTGCTGAGGATGTTTTTAGGACTGGTGGCCGGGGTTGAAAAGAGTAGTGAGTCCCAGGCTTCTACCGGACACTTTTTTGTCTTCGTTGACCAGGTTGCTGCCAGTCAACATTGACCGGGCAGGTGCTGAGGATATTTTTAGGACTGGTGGCCGGGGATGAAAAGAGCGATCAGTACTCTGCCTTCTACCGGGCACTTTTTTGTCTTCATTGACCAAGTTCATGCCGGTGAACATTGGCCGGATGAGTGCTGGTCACCTTTTTGAGGCGGGTGACCAGGGAGGAAACAAAGACTTGGTGGCCAAGCCCTTCCCGAACATAATTTGGTGATTGGTTGCCAATGGAAAAACTAAGACTCTGTGGCCAGGAACTTAATAGTGATCTTTTGGGGACCTTTGGCCAGCTGCTTTCCAGTGGCCGGGCTGGCCAGGCAGGTGCCGAGCAAAAATCAGGCATTGGCCAGTGTCAGGCCAAACTTTTGTGCTGCCTGGGATCTTCGCGTTAACTATACCGCTCTGTCGCCGCGCGGCACTCTTAGCGCGAATGCCACATCCGCGATTTTTCGGCTACTGCGCCACATATTTACTTCCCAACTGCACTCAAAGAAAAAAAAGTTGTAGTCGGGTGCATCGGGCGCAGATGCTCCCCTTTCCTGGAAGACGCACCCACCGTTACCCAGCCAGTGTACCTGTATACCGACCATAAGCCCCCTTCTCTACCTTAAAAACCTATAGGTGTAGCAATGCACTCAGCTTAGTGATCCGCCACGCTAGCCATGCACCCCGATCAGCTTGTGCTTGAATCGGATAAGATTGGATATTTCAGACTTTGTGTTTTGGAAGAGCCTAAACAAGACGTCTCTCATATATTGATTAAACTTAAGCTAGTCTCAGTAATGTTTTAATTAGGTGCTAGGATACTGATTTCCTGAGCTAAGGAAAGCTAACAGCTTCGGTTAAAACCGCAACGCAAACGTTCAAAATCGAGCCACACGTAAAAGAAAAAGAAAACGAACATCTCGACCTAGATGTGCAGAACGCTGGTTTTGTTGTTAACAACGTGATTGTTGGCGGGTGGTGGGCAACGCCGTGACGCTATTGACGCTATCGTGGTGATTGACGCCAGTGATGCTCGGCCGTACTACACAGTAAAACTTTTTACACCTTTAAGGGTGTAAAAGCGGTGTTGTAGCAACTTACACCCTCGGCTACACCTTTTTAACAACCTAAAACTAGGAATACAACCTCATAATTTTACCGAAAAAGGTGCTGTTTCGTGTTACATCCTACATTTAGTGAAGAATGTGAGAAGGGTGTAGAAGAGGGTGCTAAATAAA